AAATGGAACCGGAACCGGAACAGGAACAGTTCCAGTTCCAGTTCCAGTTCACCGACTCTTGGGGTACTTATAGTACTGCCAGCCCATTGATTAGGCCACCCCCGGATCTGTCGATGCACGGCGTCTTCCAGCGGCAACCGCCTGCCGCGCCGACTCGCGGGAGGGCGACCATGTCGAACCTGTGCCTCCTTTGAGGAAGCCGCCTCCGCCCCCGCCAGGAAGGCCTGCGGTGAAGAGGGCGGCCCCGCAGCAGGCCGGCCGGACGTTTGTGGGAGGCCCATTTGGAGGTGCGCGCGTTGGGGCACTGCCCTCACCGATGCCCAGTCACGAACCGCCCAAGAAGAAGGCTATGCCCAGGAGACAGGGTATATGAAACCCCCTGCGCCGGGCATCTCCGAAGCCGGCGCGTTCGCGGACTGGTGGAGGGGCGGCGTGGGGTCCCGGGACGGATTTTGCAGAGTGAAGTGTCCCTAATAAGAACGGATGCGCAGGGGCTCCAAGAGGCCGGGATGACAGGGTGGAGGGGCGCGGTGGAGGAAGTCCCGGGACGGAATTTGAAGGTGGGGGGGTCTCTTAAAATCGATGCTCCGGAGCTCCAGGAGGCTGGAGATGTCAGGCTTGGTGGAGGCGTGGTGGGGGTCCCGGCAGAGTTTTGCTGGGTTGGAGGTCTCTAGGAACTGATGCACAGGGGCTCCAGGAGGCAGAAGATGTCAGGCGTGGTGAGGGCGTGGTGGGGGGGGGTCCCGGGACGGATTTTGCAGAGTGGGGGGTCCCTAAGAACGGATGCGCAGGGGCTCCAAGAGGCCGGGGATGCCAGGCGTGGTGGAGGCGTGGTGGGGGCGTGGCGGGGGAGAGTCCTGGGACGGATTTTGCAGAGTGGGGGGTCCCTAAGAACCGATGCACAGGGGTTCCAGGAGGGTGGGGACGTCAGGCGTGGTGGGGGCGTGGTGTCGGATGCGGGCAAGGTCGACGGTTCTGACACAGAGGGGGCCCTAAGAATGCTCAGAGGCTCCAGGGGGCTGACGGTGTCAGACGTGGTGGAGGCGTGGTGGAGACGTGGTGGAGGCGTGGTGGGGGCGTGGTGACATCGTGGTGGGGGCGTGGAAGGGGGGGGTCCTGGCAAGGATTTTGCGGAGTGGGGGCCCCCTAAGAACCTATTGTCCCGAGGCTCCAGAAGGCGTACGGTGTCAGACGTGGTGGAAGCGTGGTGGGAGCGTGGTGGTAGCGTGGTGGGAGCGCGGAAGGTAGGTCCCGGCAAGGAAATTCTGCGGAGTGGAAAGGCCCTAAAAGCCCATGCCCAGCAGCTCGGAGAGGCCGACGGGGGCCCGTCGGGCGAATCGTCGCTTCCGTTGCCCGTCGGTCCTGCGACGGACGGGGTGCACGCCGCACCCTCGTGCCCCTCCCACGCCGCTCCGCGTCCCCCCCCCCCCTTTCCCTGACGCCCCCCTCGGCGGCGAGCTTCCCCCTCCCGCTCCCCTCCCCCCCAACCCTTCCCCCCCACCCTCCCCCTCCCCTTCCCCTTCCCTCCCCCCCTCCCAGAGATCGCACGCATTGAAAAAATCCAGGTGGAGTTTTTGTTTGCCGTCTTCGGCCTCCAGAGGCCTTCGCCGGGCCCCCGGACCGCCAAAAAAAGATTCGGGATGAAAAGCCGGCCTTGGGAAAAGGGTCGGGACTGCCCAGCACCCCGTATCGATTAAATCACGACATCGCATTTCTGGGCTTGACCTCACCCCCCCCTCCCCCTCTCCTCATCATCCCCTCCCCCCCCTTCCCCTCATCCCCCCCCGGGGGGGGGGACATGCGAAGGAGAAGGCATTCTCGGAAGGCGGCGGGACTTCCCAGATGCCCTCGCGCCTGCTGGGAAGGTTTCTGTGTCTTCGCGGCGGGCCCAGAGCACTTCTCAGGAGGCCGGGCGACTGCTGGGCCTTCTGAAGAAGGCTTGTCCCTTCTCACATCCCCCCACAATTCTTCGCTTCGTGGAGGACGATCAATGGAGAGGAAGCATGCTGCCAAATAATTTGAAGATGCCTAAAACATGTGTTAAACATGTTTCAAACATATTAAACCATGTTTTAAACATGTTCAGGACATTTTCTGGCATCTTACACACATTTCTAATTCTTCACGCTTCGCGTATCCCCACCAGCCCATCTCAAAACAGCAACTCTAGCGAAGCATGCCGACAGTCGTGTTTTTCAGGCGTGTTTCCGCCTGCCCCCGCATATCTCCCCTGTTCCTCCTTCCTCCCGCCTCCTTGTACATCCTCCTTGTGGTGGGAGCGGGAGAAGGACGAGGCGGAGGAGGAGGGAGAGAAAGCGCTCCTCGTGGTTTGAGTCGTTTGGGGTTTCTCGTCCTGGTGTGAGTCGTTCGGGCCCTTCTTCCTGGTGTGAGTCGTTCGGGCTCTTCGTGGTGTGAGTCGTTCGGGCTCTTCGTCCTGGTGTGAGTCGTTCGGGCTTCTCGTGGTGTGAGTTGTTCGGGCCCCTCGTCCTGGTGTGAGTCGTTCGGGCCCCTCCTCCTGCCCGTCCAGAAACGACGCCCAGGCGAGTAGAGGGTCGTCCTGATGGGTTTTTCGGCGTCTTGGGTGCCTCGGGGGGGCCTCTTTGGGCCGTTTGGGATCCTCTTGGGGGCCTCCTGGGGGCCTCTTGGGGCCATCTTGGGGCCTCTTGGTGCCTCCTGGGCGCTTCTTGGGGCCATCTTGGAGTAAATCGATCAAAGAAGAGGGGAGCTTCAATTAGCGCTGCCCCCTCAGAAGGCCAAAATGGGGCCAAAACCTTAGTAAAATCAATGATTCTGGCTTGAAAGAAGAGGGGGGCTTTAATTAGCGCTGCCCCCTCAGAAGGCCAACATGGGGCCAACACCGTAGTAAAATCAATGATTTTGGCTTCAAAGAAGAGGGGAGCACTTTTCTGCCTCCCCCCGTCGGGGCCAGAATCCTCGTGAGGGGTGTCGTTTTTTAGCCCTCCCAGGAATCGAAAAAGACCCTTCCAACGACCCGCGAAAGGACCTCTCCAGGTCCAGGGGGAGGGGGTGGGGGGAGGGGTAAACCCCTCCCCGAAGGGGAAGAAGGGGGGTTGAGAACAGAGAGAGCTCGCTAAACCACTCACGCCCAAAGGGCTGGTGGGATTCGATGGCAGGTCTGTTAGGGTGTCCTTTGTCGCGGCATCCACAATACTTGCTGTTTCCCTCCAGATAATTCTCCAGGTAGATTATCAGAGTAAGGGGGCTGAACCGAACGGTCATTCACTGTCCCTGGGTGCGTGGCTGAAGTAGAGTTCCGCGATGCGGATTCTTGTTGTTGCTTGTTGTTTGTTGTTTGTTGTTGTTGTCGTCATCCCGCCCCGCGACCCGCCCCGCGACCCACCCGCGACCCACCCCGCGACCCACCCGCGACCCACCCGCGACCCACCCGCGACCCACCCCGCGACCCGCCCGCGACCCACCCCGAGACCCCCCCCGCGACCCACCCCGAGACCCCCACCGCGACCCACCCACGACCCACCGGCGACCCACCTGCGACCCACCCGCGACCCACCCCGCGACCCATCCGCGACCCACCCGCGACCCACCCGCGACCGCGACACCCGCGACCCACCCGCGACCCACCCCGCGACCCACCCAACATTTCGGCGCCTGCGGCGGGTTTCTTTTTCATTCGTTCTAGGTCGTTCCAGGTGGAGAACCTGCGACCCACCCGCGACCCAAACCGCTTTCAGTGTACAAGTCAAAATGTTCGGCCCCTGCGGCGGGCTGTTTTTGAATTCCTTCCAGGTGGAGGTGGAGAGCCCACGACCCACCCGCGACCCAAACTACGTTCACTGAACAAGCCAAAACTTCGCGCCTGCGGCGAGTTTCTTTTGCATTGGTGACCCACTCGCGACCCACCGGCGACCCACCCCGAAACCCACCTGCGACCCACCCCGCGACCCACCCGCGACCCACCCGCGACCCACCCGCGACCCACCGCGATCCATCTGCGACCCACCCGCGACCCACGACCCACCCAAAATTTTCGGCGCCTGCGGCGGGCTTCTTTTGCATTCGTTCCAGGCTTCTTTTGCATTCGTGAGGGGCACGAGGTCCGCCGGCTCGACACCTGCGTCGCCCGCGCCCGCCCTCTCACTCTTATCCGCAATTGCGGGGTGCTACGTAGGATCTTTCTCCAAGACCTAACTTAGCCAACAAATCTTCGCGGGCTCGCCGGCGACCCTCGGGCCAAACGCACGGGGGAGACTGGGAAAGGGGGATGGGGGCCACGGAATCTGCGTCATGCAGCCGGCCTCGGTCCCGCCAGTGGGCATTTTCCCTCCATCTCTAGTTTTTTTGTTTGTTTTCTCTCTCTCTCTCTCTCTTTCTGTATTTTTTATATATATATCTATATATATATATACATATATACATACATACATACATACATGGACGATCAATGGAGATAAAGGATGTTGCCACATAATTTCCGCATGTCTAGAACATTGGTTAAACATGCTTCAACATTTGAAACCATGTTTGAAACATAATTAAACATTTTCTGGCATTGTAGACACAGTGTAAATTCAATGGTAGGACTGTTAGGGTGCCCATTGTCGTGGCATCCGCAAGTATATACATATAAATAAACATGGATATGCGAATAGAGGGGGAGAGGGAGAGAGAGAGAGAGAGAGACAACAAAGACACACACACACATTCACACATACATATATATAATAATAATAATAGTAATAATAATACTAATAATAATAGTAATAATAATAATACTCATACTAATAATAATACCAATACTAATAATAATAATACAGACAATAATGATAATAATAATAGTAATAATAATAATCGTAATAATAATAATAAACGGAGATATGGGCTGCTTCCGGTGCCACGAGGCGTCGTGGAGATCAGCGCCGTGAGCTGATTTGCGACCACTCCCCCTTGCTGTAGCCCCCTTGTTCGCTCGACCCGCCCCTCCCGCGCCCCTTGCCTAGCCCACGAGCGCCGCGGCCGAGGCCCGGCCCGCGTTCCGCGGACCACCGTCGCTGTCGGTGCACCCGGTGCTCGCGGCGCGCGCGGCCGACGCCGCGGCGGCGGCGGGCGCGGCGCCCGCGGCTGCAGCTGCGCCGGCGCCCACGGAAGCCTCGGGAGATCAATCGAGGGAGGGAGAACCACCTCCTCGTATATTCCTCACCCTCCTCGTATACTCCTCGCCCCCCTCTTGGTGCCCCTTCCCCACCGCTCCATAGCATCCGTAGCCACTGTGGCTCTGCTTGATAACAACGCGCCCTGGCGCTATCAAGTGGACTTCATGGGAGAAAGAGCCACCCCGACCCCGACCATGGACGTTTACGAAACGGCCCTGGGCGTTGATTGAACAGCCCTGCCCTGTCCGATTCCTGCGAAAAGGCCTCCCTTGTCGGGGTGTTCCGTATGGGGGAGGATTTTCTGATTTCTTTGGAATACCCAGAGGTGGAAGAAGAATTGCCTCCTCCTCCTCCTCCCGCTTCCCCTCCCGCTCCCCCTCCCCCTGCTCCTCCTCCTCCCCCTCCCCCTCCTCCTCCACTTCCTCCTCCTCCTCCTCCTCCTCCTCGTCCTCCTCCTCCTCCTCGTCCTCCTCCTCCTCCTCCTCCTCCTCCTCCTCCTCCTCCTCCTCCTCCTCCAGGCCCTCGCCGCCACCGCTGGGTTTTCTTCGAAATTCTGCCAGAATGCACTCCGGGAGAGGTCCAAGGAGCAGCGAAAGCAGTACCTGTTGTTCCCCCAACTTCCAGGAAGGGGAGGGCTGGAGATGCAGAAGGGACGGAAGGAGGGAGGGAGAGGAGGGGAGGAAAGGGCCGTGGAGGCAAAGGGGGAAAGGGGCAGGAAGGGGGAAAGGGAGACAGGTCTCGTTCTTCCCCGTCGTTTTCTGTATCTCGCCCTTCTCGTCCCCGTTCCCCCTAACTTTTTGCGCCGGGCGACCCCAGCCACTGCGCTGGGATTGCCCTCCATTCACCAGGGGTTGGCCCTTGCGTGGCCCTGCTGCCACGCAATCGCATGATATATCTATCTATCTATATATATATATATATATATATATATATGCTGTGCCTGTTCAGTGTGTCCTAGTACTGTTCTCTGGCTGTGCCTTTCTTGGTTGCTCCCGCGAGGGCGTCGCTGCGGGTGTCGTCTTTTATGTTCGGCCTACGCGCGCGCGGGTTCGCTTTCTGTGTCTGCCTCCTTTCTCTTCTGCCTTGTCTTCCAGCTGGGCCTGAACACGGGGCTACTGACAGATTTTGCTTGCGATGCGCGGCATGCGGCTGCGTTCAGGTAGTCTGCCACACTTCCTCGTTCCTCCCCCCTGTTTCTCCTCGTCCAGTTTTCCCCTGTCCCCGTTCCGGGGCCCCTGCCCTCCCTCTGCACGGCTGCCGCCGCATGCACTGGTCGATACTACGCATAAGTTCGTTGACTTTACATCTCGACGGCCGTCGTGCTTTCCTCTGTCTCGCGCTGTAGCGCAGCGTCGCTGTCGAGTTTTACAGTGTAGGTCGAGGTTATCGGATGCTCTGCGGCGGGGGGAAAAACAATTGCTTGCGCCGGGCAAGTAGAAACGGTGGGGCTGCTTCGTTCTCTTGTATACCAACGAACAAAGCGTACGATATAACATTGGATTAGCAAACAAACCACATGTGTACAGACCAAGCGGAACAGGAGGTTTGGTGAGAAACAGGAACGTGGACAAGCCCGTGTGGGCATAGAGTAGTAAATCTTCAAACGTTGACAAGGTAGTCCTTATTCACTCCTCATTATATCCAATTCGATCCCGCCCTCGACAAGGGCCTCAACGAGGGCAGTTCTAGATCTCACCGAAGGCAGCTGGTAGTCAACTTCTAAGGTGCCCTCACTGATGGAGTACATGAACATACTGCGTGTGATGTGCCGAACAACGGTTCGATGCGTAGGCCTACACTGTTTGGGCCACGAGGTACCCATACAAGGTATATGTGCACAGGTATCTATACATTAGCCCAATATGCGGAACTCGAAGTGGGAAGCCTTTGCGGCTGGTACCACCAGGGACGACGACGGCAGTCGTGGGGAGGCGGGCGGAAGCGGGGGAGCGCGTGGGAAGGCGGGGGAAGGCAGGGGAAGGCGGGGGGAGACGCGGGGGAGACGCGGGGAGGCGGTCGGGGGCAGGCGGGGGCAAGCCGGGGCGAGGCGGGCGGGAAAGTCCTGAATTCCCCGGCCCACAGGGAAATCCACCCCCCTGCCCTCCCGGGGATCGTGATCCGGCGCGCAGGGGGGGGGGTATCATGACCCCGGGACCTCCCCCAGCGATCCCCCGGGACCTCCCCCGGAGCTCCCACCAGAAACTCCCCCCCACCGTAGCCATTTTGGCTAAAGTCATTTTGGCTCTAGCCTGGCGCGTGCTGGTTCGAGGTGTGGCCTCCAGCGCAAACCAATCGGCGCCCCTTCGCTCCGCGCGCACCGCGTGGCGACGGGGGGCGGCCCGCCGTGGCGGCCCGCATCGCTTCGGCAGCTCGAGAAAATCCAGCTGGGGGCCACTGCTGTGCGCCGCGCGGCACGGGCTCGCGCTCGCGCCGCCTTGGGGGCCGCGCTCGGGTCGCTGGCATCTGCTCGTGCCCTTCCAGGCTCGTGGGCTGATCGCGAGCTTGCGTCGCGGCCCGCCTTGCAGCTGATCGCGATTGGCGAGAGGGTCCCAGGGCCCAAGCAGCGCAGGCGCAACGTCGCGCGGCACTCCCAGAGGGCGCCGCCCGGCGGCTTTACGCGCCCCTCCTCCGAGGTCATCGCATGGGCGGTTGCTGGGAGAGGGGGGGCAGGCTTCCTCGTAGAGCTGTTCAACAACTGTTCCATCTTCAGTCGGATGTGGACTCGCCCTTCGCCGAGATGCTAGCGCGCGGGCCTCTTGGGTGCAGGAGGTGGCGCAGATGGTCTCTGACGGCGCGGCGCTGGCTCTGGGCATTTGGGAGGCGCCGCTCGGGGATGCGGACCTGCGAGCCAAGGCCATCGGGGATGTCCTGGAGGCGGGTTTGCGCCTGGGCCACGCTGCGCAGGCGGGCTCCGCGGCCTGCCCAGGGCTTGGCGGCTGGCGGGGGCGAGCGCTGCCGTGGCTCACCTCCCGCGCATCCTCTCGATGTTCCCGCGGGCGACAGCGCCCCTGGTGCCGAGTGCGAGCGCGCGCGAGGTGGCGCGGATCAAATGCTTCGTGGAGGTCTTGCGCGCGATTAGCGCGGCGCGGAGGAGCTGGCGGGCTGCGCCCCATGGGCGCCGCAAGGACTCCCGGCCGATCTGGGAGAGGAGCGCCTTTTCGGGGCTGCCTCAATGTCGGCGTCGGCCGGCGTGGATTGGCTGTCTCAGTCGCAGTTGTTCTTCGGTCCGAACGGCGGCGACGATCCGCGCAGCGATTTCGTGTTCTGAGGTTCTTTCATTTCAGCGAATACTTGCGCTGGCACCCATTCTTCGGCATTCCGCTTCTGGCCTGGATGAAGCTCGCGTTCAGTGGCATGTCCTTTTTCGCGCGCGCTGGGCGAAGCCGTTGCGGGGGCAACCCGCGGTGCGGACCGGTCTGGGGCGAAGCTGTCCTCTGCGATCATGCAGTCGTGCTTTTTCGTTGTTATTGGCGGCAGTTCGCGGAATGACAGGCTGGTCTTTGTTCCGGTATTCGGTGGAGCTTCTCTTCGCGATTGCGCGGTTCACGCGCGGGTGCGTCCACGCGTGGTACTTTTCTTTCCTGAACTTGTTCATCGCGCACCTCGCCCCTGGAGAGGGGCCCTCGATCGTCGTTGACAGAAGAAAAAGTTGGAAGCTCCCCTCGGGATCCCCCCCGGGGGGGGCGGGGGGGCCGGGCTGGCGGGGGGGGGGTCTTGCAGTTCCTTTTTCCGTGGGAGATGCATTGGGCCAGGCCAGCGGGGACACCCGCAGTTGCCCTCTTCTCCCACCTTTCTGCGGGCGGCCCTCAAGGCGAGCGCGTCTCTGTGGAGCGTCTCGCGGCCAAGTGCCTCGCGCGGGCGCCATTCCACGGGGGTGTGCGTGCGTGTGCGTGTGTGTGTGTGTGCTTGTGCTGACTGGCTGTCTTGCTCTCTCATCCCTCTCGCAGGTTTTCCGCCGTTCTTGCTCTGCCCTCCGGGCCGCGCGTTCGCGCCGCGCCGCGCGAAGGACGGCGCAGTAGCTCCAGGTGATGGGGCGGCCTGTTCTGCCCATTCCGACCTTTGCAGCGAAGCCGGAGGAAGGCGCCGCCACTTCAGAAGATGCGACAGTGCGTCTTGCCCCCATGTGCCGCAGCGCCGCTTGCGGGATGGCGCTCGGCATCATATTATACAACGCATTGCTATGCTCTACGTGGCCATCGTTGACTGTCACGATTTAAAGCTGAATTGGCGACTTTGCAACGCTGGCAGGTCCACTTTCTACGCCGGTGGCGACGTCCGCAGCGCCCTCGTCGCCTTGGCCGGGGGCTGCGCCACGCCGGCGTTACGGTGCTCCCAGCGCGAAAGAGTTCTCCATGTGTCCCCCATTGTTGTGCTCTCTCTCTCTCTCTCTCTCTCTCTCTCTCTCTCTCTCTCTCTTTTTTTTCTCTCTCTCTCTCTCTATCTCTCTCTCTCTCTCTCTCTCTCTTTCTCTTTCTCTTTCTCTTTCTCTTTCTCCTTCTCTCTCTCTCTCTCTCTCTCTATATATATATCCTCTAATTCTCTCACGTCGTCTTGCGTCGGGGGGGGGGGGGGGGCGTTGCTTTCCGCCTCCCCGCAAGTTCACGTCGACGCCCTCCTCTTCTCGCTTTTTGTTGTCCTTTGCTATCTCCATCCAATCAGCGCATCTCCCCCGCCACTCATGCGCCCTGTCTTCCTTCCCTTCGCGCGTCTGTTCGCGCGCTCTGTCGCCGCGCGCGCGTTCATTTTACAGCGATTGCTGGGGGCGGCGTCGCTCTGAGCGGTCTGCGCTCAACGTTTTGATGCATCTGAGCGCGCGTGCATTGCTTGCGGAACAAATCTCCGCGATCGTTTGCGGATTGCCCACGCCCTGGCAGAGTTGTGCGACGCGCGGGCCCAGACCTGCAGGCCGGCGACTCCGGCCTTCGGCTCGCGATTTCGCCCCCCTCGAAGCTCGATTGGCCGAGGCGCGGGCGGCGGCGGGCCTCGTGCAGGACGAGCATGTCGCCCCTCTAATCGCGCAGAGTAGCCCCAGCTGGCGGGGGGGCCCGGCGCCCGGGCAACTGGCATTTCCACTCGTCACCTCTCCCAGGCTCGAAAGAGATTCGTGAATCTGCAGAGATGCTGAAAAAGGCGCGGGCTGCGGAGCCCATTGCCCGCTCGGACCGCGCGCAAGTCGCGCGGTGCACGTCGCGCTGGGCAGGCAGGGGCAGACTTCAGCGCGCGCAGACGGTTCCCAGGCGTCGATGGCGGGGGCCTCTTGGCACTCATAGTTGACCCATGACCCTTTGATTTGTTTAATGGTTAATAGTTGTCACAGTCACATGCAGGTGGCTCTTCCTCGCAGAGCTCGCGGCATCCGCAACTGCAGGCCGAGGTGGGCCCCGCAGCGGCCCCGCGCGGATTCCTATATTTCTTCTCTTGCAACGCGCGGGCATGGGCGCCCCGCTTCGGGGGTGTATTTCCCCCTTTCTCTCTTGCCCCTCCTCTCTTCCAGTCCCGCTGCCTCTGGGGGTCGTGGGAATTCACCTTCCCGCGTCTCCCTGGAGTCGGATCCGCCCCCTTTTTTTCTTTCCCTTTCTGCTCGTCGCAAATAAGGAACCTCTGCGGGGAGGTCGCAGCCCCGCGAACTGGCGCCTCTTACCACGGATCATAAAAAAGACACGCTCGAGGCGGCCCGAGCCCGGCTCTCGTCGATAAGAGCAGCATATTTTGGACGGGGCCGACGCGCCCCTAATCGTTGAAGAGCGGCCCATTTTGGGTGGGGGCAATGCTTCCTTCCATCGCCTTTCTCCCCTTTTCGCCCCTCGCGTGGTCTCGCGCCGGGGTGGCCCGGCGGCGACGTCGGCGCCCCCGCTCCTCAGGGCAGTTGAGCCTCGAGGAATCCAGTGGTTGAGCTCGCATCGTTTCACGCTGTTTCAGCTCATCGGCCCGAGCTCCCGCCCCTCGGGTCGAATGGGCAACGCTCCGCCCCCCCGCAGGTGCGTGTCGGCATGTTTTTCCCCATTGATCTTTCCTCCGCCCCCCTTCTTGCCCTGCCGCCCCGCGGGCGCACATCGAGAGACGCGCGTCGACGTGCTCAAGTTCTCAGCGCTTTCGCAATCCTACTTCCCCCCCGGCCAGTCGCCCCCGTCAGGTGCGCATCCTGCACTGCAACGCGCTGCGCAGCGGGCCATCCAACCTATGCCCATGCTGTTTTGACGCCGTGTACGCATGTCAGTTGCGCAGTCTTCCTCCCCGCACGTGCACATCCGGGCGCTTTTCTACCACCGCCTCCTCTTGGAATGCTGTCGCTGCGAGGTCTGCCCGGCCAGGTCGTTTTTTTCCACATTCTGCTTGCTTCCGCCGCCCATGTGTCGCAGGGAGGCAAGCGTGGAAGATGTGTATGGCCAGGCCGGCGGGGGCGCCCGTAGTTGCCCTCTTCTTTCACATATCTGTGCGCGACCCTCAAGGCGCGCGCGTCTCTGTCGAGTGTCTTGCGGCCAAGTGCCCTGCGCAGGCGCCATTCCGCAGGGGGTGGGCATATGGTGACTGGCCGTTTTGCTCGCTCGTCCTTCTCGCACCATCCACGCAGAAGCCCCCCCCCCCTCTGCTCTCGTCGAGCTTGTTTTTCTTGTGATCCAGGCAAGTTAACTTGCATGGCGCGCCCCCCCTTCGTCAGTCATCAATCGAACGCGAGCGTGCAAGTGCATTTCGGCTTGCGTGGCTTCCGCACGTCAAGCTGTTTTCAGCTTGCTTCAGGCTCGGCCCCCCCCCGTTCATGCCAGTAAACTCGCCCGAATCTGAGGAATATGCTTTGTGCCCACAGGAGGGGAGGTCACGACCCCTGGGGCGCCCCCCCCGGGACGCCGCGGCAGCATCGGGCCGCATATGGGCTCATATGACTGCGCGCGGGCGGGGCCCATTGGCTCGCTCAAGCTGGCCACCCTGACCCCCCGCGTTCACCCTTCCCTCAATAGAGGAGTGCGACGACGCAGTCGGCGACGACGGCCGCGACGCCGACGACGACGCCGACGCTGACGCCGACGCCAACGACGTGCCCACGACCGGCGACCGCCGACGACGAGCGACGCCAACGACGTGCCCACGACCGGCGACCGCCGACGACGAGAGACGACCGGCGACCGCCGACGACGCCGCCGCCGCCGCCGCCGACGACGACGACGACACCAGCGACCGACGACCGACGACCGACGACCCACGGCCGACGACCGGCGACCGGCGACCGACGACGACCGGCGACCGACGACGACCGACGACGAGGCACCCGCCGCGCAGCCGCAGCCCCCGCGCGCGGTGGTGAAGAAGGCGACCGCGCGCGCGCGCCGGCGGGGTTACGCTTCTTTGGGGTGGTCCCAGCACGCCTCCACAAGGGATGGGGGAGTTTTCGTTTTGTTTTCGTTTTCCTCCACTTTTCTCGTCGTGGTCCCCAGTGGAAAAAACGGTATGTGTTCGTTTTGTTTTGTTTTGTTTTCGTTTTGTTTTGTTTTCGTTTTGTATTGGTCCCCTGTGGAAAATCGTCGTCGTGTTGTTTTGTTTTGTTTTCGTTTTCCTCCCCGTCCCCCCTTGCCTCCGCTTTTTCCTCGTCGTGGTCCCCTGTCCTGCCCCACCCCCTCCTGCTCCTCCTCTTCTCTTCCTCTTCCTGCCTCTTCCTTTCCTCCTCTCCTCTTCCTCCTGCTCTTCCTCTCTCCTCCTTTTCTCTTCCTCTTCCTCTTTCTCTTTCTCTTCCTCCTCCTGCCCCACCTCTTCCTGCACCTTCTCCTCCTGCTCCTCCTCTTCCTCCTCTTCTTCTTTCTCCTCAGGGGAAGGAGTTGAGGAGGGAGAAGATGAGGACGGGGACGAGTAGAAGGAGAAGGAGCAGCAGCGGCGGCAGAAACAGGGGGAGCGCACACTAGAGGGTTGAAGAGAGGGAGAAACGAGACCAGAGGGGCGGGGAAGGGGCGGCATAGAAACAGAAGAATGGAGGAGAACGACGACGAAGAGGGAGAGAGGTCCAGCGGAGTTGGAGGGACAGGTGGATCCAAAGCGAGTGGTTTGAGGAGGAGCTCCTCATCATCATCGCCATCGTTCTCACCCTTGTCATCCTCATCCAGACGAAGGGCTGTTCGCAATCCGAATCGCGGGTGGCCCATACTGGTCCCCATCGTTGCCGGCCCCTCCTGCTCATCGTCTTCTCTTCTTCCTTCTGTCGTGTCCGATCCTTCCCTTCTCTATCTTTATGCTAGTCTTTCCTCGCATCATCCCCCTCCGCATCCTCTGTTGTTTGTTGCATTTCTCCTTCTCTCTCTCTCTCTTTTGTTGTTTTTCCTCTCTCTCTCTCTCTCTCCCCCTTATATCTGTATACATACATGTATGAGGTATCATTTTTTACGCAGGGATATGCACCTATATATGTATGCACAAACATATATACAAATATGTGCACGTCTTGTGTAGTCGCATCGGAACTGGCCACGCCTCGGATGGAACCCGAGGGACCATTGAGGTGTGATGACACTGCGTCTTTGTCGTACGCCCCCGCGGAGCGAAGGCAAAATATCGGCGCAGTGTTCGGCCGTCTTGGAGGGTAGCCTCCTCCTCCTCCTCGTCCAGGGCTGTTCACACAATGTTTGCCCCCTGCTCTCGCTCGTCGCCTGTGCCTTGCTCGGTGGCGCGCATCGGATAGACCCGCGTCCCCCAGGGTACCCGCATTCCCCCTCCTCCTCCTCGTCCTCTACCTCCCCCCTCTCCTCATCATGTCCCCCCTCCTTTTTTAGTTATCCCGGCGTAGGTAAGCAAATGCAGTTGTGCTCATCTTTCGAGTGGAGGAGGAAAGGAAGGAGGCAGAGCCGATGTGGATCAGCTGGGGCCGTCCTGGGGAGCTCTGGACGATGCCTCCCAACATTCAGGGTGTCTCCTGGACGACTGCTTGGGAGCAATGCGACGGCAAGAGGGTTCGTGTCGGCTTCGTGGAGCATGGAGGGACGAATCTTGTTTCGACGGTCGTATTTCAATCGTGGATCCTTGGGAAGAGAAGGAGGAGGGAGGAGGAGGAGGAGAAGGAGGAGGAAGAGAGGAGGAGAAAGAGGAGGAAGAGGATAAGGAGGACGAGAACGAAGACGAGGAAGAACGATAGGATCATCTGGAGAAGGAGTGAGGAGGATTGCCCAGGAGAAGAAGGAGGCACTTGAGCAGAAGGAGAACAACAGGAAGGCTATATCTTCCTCTCTCTTTCTCTCTCTCTCTCTGTCTCTGTCCTGTCCTTATTCCCTAGACGCTTCGTGCAATCGCACCAGCACATCGAGAAACGAGGCCCAGACGAGCTGCCTTGATCAGGGATGTGGAGTAGCATGTAGTGGAATAAAGTGCTGGGTAGCACGTCGTACCAAAAGGGGGGAGGATGGAGGAGATATCGGAGGAGGAGCAGGAGGAGGAGGAGGAGGAAGACCGGGACGGGGAGGGAGGAGGAGGAGGAAGGAGGAGGAACAGACGGACGAGGAGAAGGAGGACTGGGGGTTTTTTGAGACCTCTCGGGGATTGCTTGAGAGCTTCTTGGCGGCATCGTTGGGGCATCTTGATGGGCTCTTGGAGCCTTCTGGGTACCTCTTGGGCCCGTAATGGGGCACGTTTGGGAGCCGCGGGGCCATCTTTAGGAGGAGATCGATCAAAGAATTTGGGCTCTTAAGTTAGGGTCCCCTGGGGTACCCCGCAGGACGCAGGAGGTCAACATGTCGCCAAAACCTTGTATGTAAAATTAATGATTTTGGCATTCTCGCCGAGGCCTCGTGGGGCGTCTTGGGTGCCTCTGGTGCATTTGGAAATTTTGCGTGCACCAGATAGCTCCCGACTCCGCCGACTCCTCGACTCCCCGACTCCTGGACTCCCCGAATCTCCGTCTCTCTAGTTACCCGACTGCCCGACTCCCCGATTCCCCGAAGAGGAGGATAGAAATAGGACAATTGTTTTTGCTTCGAGCGATCCCCACCGAAACCTTCGGCGTTCGAAGTCGTAACAGAAGCATTGGCAGTCTGGCTTGACGTCGTGACGCCTGTCAAGTGTGATACGTCGTCCAATCGGTCGTTGTTCAGCCTTTTTATTCCAGTGGCCAGCCCGACCTCGGCGCGCACGTTGCGTTTGATGATGCTCTACAGTGCGGTGTATTATGTCAGGATGTTCCTCTTCAAGTATGGTGTTTGTTGTTTCAGAGTGTGCTAGTATGACCTGTGGCACCGTGTAATATCATGATGTATTATGTCAGTGGCATGTTATGTGATGCGTTGCTCAGTGATGGTGTTGGGCTGAGTTCACATAATATTTTGCCCTGGTCTATTCTGTCATACGTCTGCAATGAAGGTACAGTAGATGGTGTTATGTCAAGCTCGTTGCCGCAGGAGTGTCAGTAGTGAAGTGTTATGCTCTGGTATGCTGGTTACGCTGTGCTCTATCCTCTGCTCATTACATTGTACTATGCTCTAATTTCCTCTGCAATGCGGACAAGTCTTCGATATTTGAACGCATGCGTTGCCGTCGTGGTCGCAATAGTACAGCATTATCCGGTATGCTCTGCTATGATTTGTGATGATATACACCAGTATGGTCCGTTATGTCATGGTATGCGTTGTCATTGCATTGTGTGTTCGATGTTGCGTTCGGCCGTGCTCTGTTATGTCAGGACATTGTTTTTGATTATCGTTTATGTCCGACGGTGTTTCAACATGTTATGTTGAGATGTTCCATGGTATTGTTTGGCATGTCATGTAATGTTGCGATTATGGTGTGTGTCGTGATATAGGATGCAACTGTGTCTTAGAATATGTTATGTTACGCTATGTTCCAGTGTGCTCTGACCTTCTATGTCATAACGTGTGATGTTGTGTTATGCTATGTATGTCACATGCTGTCATGGCATGCGTTGCCATGATGCGTCCTTGTATGTCCTGACATGGAGATGCTATGGTATAGTATGCGCTGTCATGCTGTGGTGTTAATGATGCATTATGGTATGCTACGCGATGCGATGCTGCTCTGGTAGTACAGTCTGTGTTATGCCGCGCCCTGTCATGGTATGGTGTGCCATTGAATCTAATCTTATGTGCTTTGATGCTGTGCTACGATGTGATGTGTTCTGCCATGGTATGTTATGTATGCAATGTTCTGTCATGGTGTGATCTGCCACGCCTGTATGATATGCAAGGAGGTGTGTCATAATGCTCTGTTATGTATGAGCCAGTATGCCATAGCATGTGGTGTTGTGTTATGGCATGTTCGGATGTGGTGTACCATCGTATGCCGCATTATGGCATGGTATGATGTGTTTTCGGCGTTGCGTTTCTATATGGCATGCTATCGTTGCTGTGATGCAGTAGTATGCTGTAGTGTGCTAGGTCATGGTGCGTGATGCTATAGTATGCATGTTCAGGTGACGATGTGCAACGTTATGTTATACTACAGTCTGAGTTATTCGAATTGTCATAGCATGCATTGTTATGCCAGAGTGTGCTATTATGTGACATGTCATGTTAGTTGAGACTGTGTCATGTTATGCTGTGGCATATTCAGATCAGCGATGGTCTCATGTAATCTGCTTGATGTGCCGTGTTATGGATGGTTATGTGCTGTGATGTTGTGTTATGATATGCGTTGCCCTGTCATGCTGTTGTATGCTCCGATGTAATATGTCATGGTATGGTATGATATGATCGTGCATAGTATGCTCGGTTGTGTGGTGTTGTGCTCTGTTCTGTCATAGCTTATAGTGTTGTGCTGTACGGTGCTCCAATACCGCTCTGTCACCTTATGATTTGTCGGCGCGAGGCGGGGCCCTCGGGGACACTCGGGGGACCTGGGGATCTGGCGGCCGCCGTTTGTAGAGTGGCGCAAGGCGGGACTCGGGGACACCTCGGCGGCCTGGGTTTTTGGCGGCCGCGGCATGCAGTGTGGACGGGTCGGGAGGTCTGCTCTTGAAACCTAATTACCCCAATTTGTCGGGTGGAGAATAAGGAATACCACATCTTTTGGATTGGTGCCCCCCTCCGAGCCGTGTGTGCCTCCGTCTATCCTCAAACTGCGTTACGGTGTTTTGGTCGTGCGTTGGGGGCGACCCACGATGAGCCCGACAGTTCAGACACCGAAAACTCGCACCATGCGGGATCCAAGAAGGGGGGGGGCTAGTACTGGGACCGCCTCCACGGCCACAGCCCTCCTGGGTAGGTTCCCTGCCTTGACGTGGCCATCTGATGCAGAGAATTACACGTTCTCCTCCCTCCACCTCCTCGCCGTCCTCGTCCTCATCCTCCCTTGTCCTCCTTGTCTCCTCTTGACTCCCTCCT